GCAGCGAACGCTTGCTACGCACCATCTGTTTCACAACCATGAAACCCCTTGGTATCATATGATCATTGCCACAGTTTGTCTGGTTCTGGTGTTATTTTGGAAATAAATAGCCCGGTTGTTTACAAGATTGTGTGCTTTGTTTGAATCATTTTTATTATGGATTTGTAGAAAAGTGTATTTTATGAGATTTCACGATCACTCCCTGTGATGAAATAGCACATTTTGTTCCAAATGACTAAGCTTTCCAGTAGTAGTGAACATTTTGTTGGCCAGTCTTAGCCAAATTCACACCAATTCTTTGACAGAGGAGAATAAATTACAAACTTTGCATGGAAAATGAACAGTGTATCAAAATTTAAAAAGTTTATTTATGATGGCAAAAGTAGGTCTAATATCAGGATTTTTTTCTCTCTCTTTCCTGGTCACAGTGATACTTAATTACAAGCAAAATCTACAAGTATTGCTAGGATATTACTGGCCCCACTTGTCCGGCTAAGATGCAGACAGTAATCAGGCATTTTTGGAATGATTTCTATTATTTGTCTAACTCGGTGGCAACCATCATTGAACACTTTAACGTGCCTGAGTTTCTACTCCTGTGTCCTTCCTCTATGGTGATACAAAGTTGCTGATAAAACAGGCACTGGGATCACTGTCTTTAACACTGTCTGGTTCCCAGACAAAACAGATACCGACTATGTTTGGGATCAGGAGTTAATCGCTCTAGTATGGCTGATGTGAAGACGACCAAATCACCAAAGTTTCAATCGCCCATATTAATACATCAGTGGTCATATGGGATGAATTAGCCTACATGTGGAATGAGATTCATAGAAGGCATTTTTGCAGACTCTCCACTTTTTGGCCGGACCCGTGTGGGGCCAAGGATACGGAGGTAGTCCAGTAGACTGACCCCCAGTCTGGGGATAGGTTCGATCCATAGCTGTCATCTTTTTTTCCAATAAACTAAGAATTTTCTTCTTTTGTTATTGTAAATTGACATCAACATTACATCCTCTTTCTGATTCATGGCTCTGGAGGATTTTCTTGTTTTTGAAAAGAAGGGTAATAAATTGTAAAATTGTCTGATTCCACTTCGTGAATGCAAAGTTACAATGACTGTGTTGGCACAGACCCGAAGACCTGTCATGATAAGAATTTGATAAGTCCCCCAAACAGTTACTGCACATGTATCCCAGCAAAATTTCATAGTGACATTTGCCAGCGATGGCTGGATATCCACCGCCTATTAATAAAGAGCCCATGCACTTGAAGAAATCCCAAATCACAGAGCCACCTTTTTTGCAATATGAGGACAGAAAGCAGTCACTGGGTACCAGATTGTGTTTGTACATTTGTCATCTGACTTGAGATAGACCTTGACCTTGATATACATGTAGCCTAATAGAGCAACGCGGTTTGTCCTCCGCCTGTGGGCTCTTCTTCTAGAATCACCACCCTGATAGAGTAATAAGGTGATGGTGTGGTTAGTCCCCTGCCTGTGGCTTCATCTTCTGACATCACTGCCCTGATAGAGTAAGGTGATAGCAGTGTGGTTGGTCCCCTGCCCGTGGGCTCATCTTTTGGCATCACTGCCCTGATAGAGTAAGGTGATAGCAGCGTGGTTGGTCCCCTGCTTGTGGGCTCATCTTTTGGTATCACTGCCGTGATTACAAGAATAGTTAATGTGATTTTGGTTCTCACAGCAGTTTGCCTTACCCATCAATCCCTGTACCACTCAGAACCCACCCAGCCTGTTACTCCCTGCACTGCCAAGCACTGTATTGTTTTCCAGATTTATCAGTGACCTAATATAATCTGAAATGATACAGTTGTTGTATAAGGAGTACTTACAAAGGCAGATGGGGGGGCTCTTTGAGGGTTAAGGGGGGAGATAGGGCCCTAGCCCCACCCCCTAAAAAGAGCCAAAAAATTAAAACAGAAAACAATATTAACAAAACAAATTTTTGTTGGTTTTATTTTAGTTATCTTCCCCAAAAGTGCGTACAAAGCCATAAAAGGCTACATGACCTTAAAAACTTTTCAAAGTTGTGCCCTTCCTAAAAAAGACAAGTTTGCCCCCCTCCCTATGAATAGTTGTTTCTAAATGTGCCCTTCAGTTGAAACCTGCACTCATTTTGTGCATTTTACCCTATCAGATTAAAAAAGGCCTCGTCATTTTTGTTGATTTTTTTCTGTTGTCAGATTTGCCTATGTTGAAAGCTGGCTAAGATATCCTGCTTTGCAGTGTGAGTGGACTCACCAGTGATGAAATCTCATCGTTTGAAGATGCAGGCTACATGCACATCATGAATGACATCAGGTAAGAGTGTCTTTTGGGCAGTAAACAATAAACATACATATCACAGGAAAGAAAGTATTGACTGCTGTTTGCAGAGACCCTACACTTGAAGGTACAGTCCATCAATTGTCATTTGTGCATTATGTTGGAACCTTTAACCCTAAAAGGCGGGGGGGGGCTGGTGGAAATCACCCTTCTCGGCATGAAAATTTTTTTGTCTGATATCGCCATAGTGCTTTTTTTCTGGAGCTCAGCCATTAAGAGTTTTTAGAGCAACTACGGTTATTTTGACACCCATTTGTACAGATTGAACATACGGTTCTTGCACTGTGTCAGGTTTTCTGAGAAAGGTCAGCCCTTTATTGTTTTTTCTGCTGCGACGCGCAATACACCCGTGCTGGCATGCATGTAGCCTTGAACTTCAAATGACCATAACAACAAAACCACACGTCTCATTGACTTAAAACTTCAAGTTTGTAATGACAAGGAGTGTGCTTGCATGCTAGGTTAAAACAATTTAGGCGAGGCACAGCCAAGTTCAAGGGGGGGGGAGGTGTGTGGAATGTGTGCACCCTCCCACCCCCTTACGGCAGTGAGATGGGCTAAAATAACCGGGCTCTCTGAGGGTCAAGATGAGAAAATTACTCAAAATTTTAAAAAGGGTGCCTGAAAATAAATCCAAGTTGTAGCTCTGTGCATATTCTGAGCAAAACAAGATGTTTGAATTTTAGTTTTAGAGCAAATGTTGCTATGCTATTTGAATTGCACCTGAATTCAATATCTGAGACGCATATTCCTCTTCAGTCGAATGCAGCTATTTGATGTAACCCACTGAACCACCAAATTATGGTAATTGCGCATGTGCAGTTGTAAGAGCAGTTTTCTATAAATGGTTTTCCTGCATTGTTTATTTCGGGACAATTTCCTGGAAAAAAATCTCACAGGGAGTGTCCCACAAAGCCAAGTATGCATTTCATTAATATTTTCATCAGTTGTGATTAAACCCTACAAATGATGGACTGTACCTTTAATATTTAGAATCCAATAGCAAATACATGGAATGAAGTCCGACCAAAAGTGTTTCTTCCTGGATTTTTTAATTGCCCCCTCACTTGTTACAGTAGCTCCAACATAAAGATTTGGCCATTTGAGTGTAAAAGGACACATATTCTGTTTGTGAACTAAGATTACTTTCTGTCAGAAACGTCTGTTTCTAATGCAGCTGTACTCATTCTTCTGTGAATGATTTCTTCCCCAGACATTGTGGCATGAAAGCTGTGCATATGCCCATGGAAACCATATCTACGGTGCTGATGAGAAGAGCGCCCTCGCCTGCTTCAACGAGAGAAGATAAAGGACAGCATCCTGTGGATTCGCGAGAACGTCAAGATGTTGGTCCTCGCCTCCTTCACTGAGGAAGAGTTTCCACATCAGAAACTCAAGCAGTGGTCCAAACAGGCAAGGAAAAGACTACTTCCTTGCTTCTGCCTTACAGTGACGTAGATCTGTGCCAGGGGGAGGGGTACTGGACACTGGCGTGCACTGTTTGTGATACAATGTACGCATAATATACCCCTTTATCTTACATCTCCCATTTTTAGGACCTGTTATTAACAAGGTTTGACTGTACACCCCCCCATTTTTATGTCCCTGCCACCTTATAACGAAGCAAGACTTTGTTCATTTGTATATGGGAGAAAAAAGTTCCATACATGGACATCACTTGACATCACGTGCACAAACCTTATGTACGAGGCCTGTCTAAGAAATTCCAAGTATTGTCTAATTAAATGCTGCAATATTTTTGCAGCTAAATTTGAATATTCAGGATGTGTTATTAGTTTCTGAAGGCTGATTTAAAACAGGGAAAAGTCAGTGATGTCCATGTGTGGAACTTGTTCCATGCTGGTAAAAACTTTCATCCAAATTCTTGACTAAAAAGGTATTTTCGGAAGTTAAAATACACAGTTGGACAGATTGCATTTCGTTAACCATTCCAAGTAATTTCATCATGGTACAATTACTCTCATATTTGTAGGTTTTCGTACTTTAAAAACATTTTTGGGGAGTCAGGTTGGTGTGGCAGTTCTTTCCTTGCCTTCCACCTCAGCGGCTCAGGTTCGAATCCCACCTAGGCCCACAACCTCTAAAAACTGACGATTTATTTTCCTCTCCATTGCCACTCGTATCATCCAGCAATAAGCGCTGAATGTACATTGGATGAATAGTAATAAATAACAGTAAACTGTTAAGTGGCAGCCATGTGCACGTAAATAATCTCTATGGGAGGATTTCCAATGGACACTTATTACCAACTGTAGCTAGTACACTTTTTAAGCCATTTGTGGATGCGAGATGGAGCTAGTGTCAAGTTTTTAAAGGTGGGAAGAAAAACCCAGATAAATATTCATGGGTAAACCAAGGAATCAAGTAGGGACTGAAAACCCTGGCAATCCACACATCAGCTCAGACAAGATTTGATTCTAGGATGCTGAGGTAGAAGGTGAGGATAGTATTACTCTGCCAACCTGTCTCCCCAAAATAAAATGAACTAACTTTATTGCGATGCTATACTTCAAAAACTCCAATTTGTTGTGTCAGTGCTAACTGACTGAAAAATTGCATTAAATGGTCCTTATTGAAAAATACTATTTATTTTAAACATGAAATTGGACAAGAAAATATGTTGAAATTTAAATGTTTGCCAAAAAAACTACTTTAATACATAAAAGTAAACCGCATGCTATCTGTTTCAATACAACATTTCTTCAGAGTAAGGCACTAAGAGTGTTTTCAAAACTTTTATTTTTGCTGTAATGACCTTTTAGCACTGACCCAACGAATTTTTATCATAAAATAGTCCCTGTTTGGAAAGACTACATGTACAGTCAAGGGCACTAGGAAATTGCATGCTTTTTAAAACGTGAACGGAGTATTGCACATTTCACATCTTCCCTTTTCCCATTCAATCAAAATATGATTTCTGTACCTATCAACACATAATCAGCCTATCCAGTGGCTATTCCAAACCTCACTGTGGCAAGTTTTTATCACTTCCTGGAAAAAGTTCTGTGTGCCTTAGTATTTTCCTAGTGTAAGTCTTTCAATTATTGGCCTTTCCAATTTTAATTATCACCAAAAATTTAAATCAGAAATTTGCTTGGTTTACAAATTTAGCTTGCTGTTGCCTTTTCCAGGTATATTTTTTTATTTCAAAAATTATTATGTATCAGAACCATTTCAATAAGTGGGCTTTTTATGAAATAAATGTTTTAAGTTATAGAACTGTTTTGTTTAATTCTGTTTTGTGAAAATGTAGTACTTTGCCATTTTAGCCCATTCCCCCAATTCAACCGTTTTACATTGCCAGAGTTGCATCTATTTTCCATCTTCAGATTTTACATTCCAGCCCCATCCTAAGCCCTGCCAGTCTTAGACATCTTCCAAGCTCTGCTCCTTACATGAAGTTCCCTCTCTGAGCATTTTAGTCTCAATCCTATAAGGGCTACAATAAACCCACAGGCAATCTGGAACATTGAGAAGCTATGTCCTTCAATCCCATAAGATCCTCAGAGCTCTAATACTGATAGTCCCAAGCCCTCAGCCATCCACTCTACCCTTCCTATCAGCTCTCAGACTTCCAGCCCCTAGGACTGCCATCCTTGCCCATCTCCAGTACACAGTTTGGCTGAAAATATTCTAAGTCCAAACAATGGAAGGTTTAACATTTAGAAACGAACACATTTTTTCAANTTAGTAAAAAAAAAAAAAAAAAAAAAAAAACCTCCTTTTCCGGGATTTGAACCGGGATCCCCTGGCCTGGCGGCCAGCAAGCCAGCAAGCTAGCTCACCAGGCCACAGGCCTCTTGACAGAAAAATAATTCGGAACTTATATTTAAAGGTTAGGATTGCGCAATTTCAAAAAAGGTCAGAGGACACAACCTATCTGCATATATTTAAATAAATTTGAATATGCAAAGATACGGAAGAGACAGCATACTAATGCATATAGTTGAATAAAAAAACTAAATTTGAATATGCAAACATACAGAAGAGACAGCATACCAATAAGACTGCAAACAGATTGATATATACCAACTGATGTATTTCAGGTTCATATAAATAAGGGCATTGACCAAGTAGGTACATTAGCAACTCTACACTGCTTCAAAACATTTATTTTGATATTTACATCACAAAAATCAGATGGAGAAAAAGTAACTCTTAACTTTGAGAAAGATTCTGCTAGGATGGAAATTTTAAGTCCTCTTGCTTGCATCTTTCAGAAAATTGGCAGAAACAAGTCTTGTGCAAGCTACTCGTGACTTGGAATATGAGAGGGCTTTACAATGCCTGCTTTTATATTTTGAAAAATTGCACAACTGCGAGAAAAAAATACAAACAAAAATTGCGAGTTCCGAGAAAAAACCAGCACTGAGTGCAGAAATCTAATTGCACAGAATGCAAAAGAGTGGTTATTTTTTAACATAATTGAAACTGGAAACCAACTTCAAGGGTGGTTGCAATCAATTTGTTTAAATACAACCCTTCAAAATGCATTTGTGTCTTAGTTCACTTGATTTTCTACTTTTGCTTGTGGGCAATTGACCGCCTTTTGGGTTTTCATGCTGACTATTTCCATATTCATCAGCAAAACTGTGATGTAATCCCAGGAAAAAAAAACCAATGTTATACTATTTGGTACACAAAAGTCCTGCATTTTTGTAGATTTTGCTAATTCACCTTTTATTTGTGTCTACGACAATAAGCAAGCATCAACCCCTTTTGTCAGGAATGTTAAAAACCTATGCGCTAAAATGTCTTCCCTCGACATCACAGCAATAGCGCCCTCATCAGTCGTCCAGGAAAGCATGGGTAATTTAAGTGTTTAAAAAGTGCACTCTTCAATGCATTCAACCAAAGAGGAATGTAAAAGAGTTTTTACACATCGAACAAGTGTACTGAGTTCCAGAAAAATTGTTTCAAAGAAAAATGCCTCATACAGCTAGGCTTTGAAATAAGGTTACTTATTTCTCTAAAGACAAAAATACACCCTTGATACCAAAGCTGTCCTGCGAAATTTGCTATTTCGTTTCACTAAAACATCTACATTGCAAGCCTGAAACCATGTTTACTGTGTCAAAACAATGATAAACACTTTTTTGGAAATCTAATCTTTAAGCTTTGGAGCACCATGTTTGCACTGGCCAAGTTTGTGAGGTGAAGCCCTTCAAGGATCACAGTAGACAGGAACCACTTCATTCTGCTTGGATCACTGATGTTCTTTTGCCTACATGGATCACAAAAATGGCCAGAGTCTCTTTAGGACATTATGTTACATTAAATTATTTGAAAGGATTCATGGCAATATGGATAACAACAAATGTGCAGGGTTGTTAAAAATCACAATTTCCTTCCCCACAGAAATGGGGGGAGGCCTGCTATTGAATACCTACCCCAAACAGTCGCTAAATGCAAATTCCTTTGTGTCTGATTCAATTCACTGAAACTTCTGATCAACTGTGAGTGCGCCCTCCAGTCCCATGATGCATAGAGGAATGGCCGCAATGTCCGTCCTTTTCCGGTATTAAAACTGTCCGAGCCAAAAGTGGGGATGGATGAGAGGGAGCCGAGTGTTTGGGGTAGGTACTCAACAGCAGACCTCACCCACATTTCTGTGGGGTAGGAGTCTTCTGCTTTCAACCTACCCCAAACAGTCGCTAAATATGCAGAGTAGCACCAAGCCCTTGGAAGGGGGGTGTGGCAATAATGCACTACATAATATGAGTGCCAGAGGAGTATGACATTGTCCAAACTGTATTACGGACTCACCAAATAATGGAGCTGTTAAATAATGTCGTTCCAGTGGTGAGCCGCTTTGACGAGAAACCCTTCGGCATCGATGTGGCTGATGTTAGGACCGCTGTCATGTGCGGACTCCTTTTGCGGAGCATCAGTGAGGTAGCATGTGGTGAAGTAGAGGGGGTCTTCCAGCATGCTGCCTTACATGTCCTCCATCGGAATGCCTCTGAAGTAGACCCATCATGTGGAAAATGCTCGGATATCATGAGCTCTGATGAGGCGTCGTGTTTTACTGTCCTCAGAATTCAGCCAATCTGGGTTGGCAACTTGATAGCCGAAACTGCCCATCTGGCTATAGTGTCTCTGTTCACTGCTCGGTCAGGTTTTATTGTAGTGATGAAAAGCTGCAAAGTTATACCTCTGAGTCATCTGGTTTTGGCTAAGTACCATTTAAAAGTTTGCACTGGGCACCATGGTTTATCATTGGGAATCCCAGTGCATTTGGTAATGTCTGGAACAAAAATGTCAGGAGGATGAAAGGAAACTGACTTGTTCTCAGTGAGAAACCCAAGAGTTGGGATGAGACGAACACCATGGGGTTCCCATTGAATGTGGCCATCTGTGATGGACAATGCTTTCAGTTCACGGCTACGCCGTGAGGTAGTAACTGCTAGTAGGAATGCCAGTTTCACTGATGGGTTGATCAACGATGCGTCGCTGAGAGACTTAAAGGCGGGCCAGCAAGCAGTTGGAGAACAGCTAACATGTACCATGAAGGGATTAGTTTCTTAGCATCTTGGGGGATGCTCAAGAAACATTCGCTGGAGTAGATGTTTAAGAGCAGTATTGTCGGAAAAGGCCAAGCCATCTGGAAAGCCATCTTGTATAGCCCCAATGGCTAACCAGTTGAAACCTGGAGATCTGATTTGAACAGATGCCTGAAGAAGTCAGCTATAGAAGTAACAGAAACTTCGGTAGGAGCAAGACCTCGTTTTGAACACCACAAAGTAAAATGTCATGATCTGGAGTCGTAGATGCTGCGTGGAGATTGGCATAGACTCCTCGAGGCCATTTATGCCGCTTCATCAGAAAGTCCTGCTGATCTGAAGGACTGTTTGGCAATAGCCGACAGGTCAGGTGTAGTGACGTCGGATGAGGGTAAGCACACCTGACTTTGGTTGATGTAGCAGATCCGGTCTGTTAGGAAGGATTACCGGCATCCGGACGAGAAGTCTGCATGGTCAGACGTGGGAACCATGGCTAGCTTGGCCAGAAGGAGGTGATGAGAAAGACACAGCAGCATTCCTGTTGGATCTTGAAAAGAATTACTGCAAGTACTAGGGATATTGGAGGGAAAGCATATGCCAACATACCGTCCCAGTTGATTTGAAGAGCCTTCGTTGCCCAGGCTTGTGGGTTTTAAAATCTGGTGCAGAACACTGGCAGTTGGGCGTTCTCTGCTGAGGCAAAAAGATCGATGTTCAGTTTCTCTACTTCGGCAAAGATCAGTTTGACTATACTGGTGTGCCGAGTTCACTCTGTGGGACATACCTTTCCCCAAGAGAGAGAGCATCTGCTATGGAGTTGGCAACACCAGGAATGTGGGTCACCTGGAGGTCAATGCCATAATCCTGGGCCAAATGGAATATCTGTCTCGTCAGGAGGCATAGGCAGGGAGAATGCGTGCCTCCCTGGCGATTGATGTATGACACCACTGTGTGTGATGTATGACACCCACGTTCACGATGCTTGAAGCAGCGGCAGGGAGGCTCCCCAGCCTAGATGAGAAGCATCTGTGGTTATAGTTATGTCCGAGTTCACCTTGGAGAAGGGACCTTTGAGATGGGGGCAGATGAAGTCCGATATGGGGACCTGGAGATTGATTGCTGCGAGTCCCATCTCGGCCTGCAGTCTGTAGAGGGGGATGGGGTCCAGCATGCTGGCCATCAAGCCCAGGAGATGGAGGCAGGCGCAGCCGGAGCGGATTGCTCGTTAGAAAAGACTTTCACGCAGTCAAGAAGATTGTTGATATGTTCGGTCGTTGCCGAGATTATTCCTTGTTGAAGGTCGATAGATGCCCCTATATACGTCGGGTATTGTGTTGGGGCGAGATTCGACTTGTCCTGGTTGGTGATCAAGCCCAGGCAATTTGTGATGTCACAAGTAAGGCGGGTAGAAACCTCTGCTTTGTTGAACGATCTGCTGATGATCAGCCAGTCGTCCAGGTGCTGGAACAGCATGACGTCCCACTTTCGAAGGTGAGCGGCTATTCTTTGCAACCCTCAAGAACAATCTCAGTGAAGTGGAGAGACCGAAAGGGAGAGCTGTGAACTCGAAGAGGTTCGTGTTGTATAGGAAGCGTAGGTATTCGTAGCTTCGTGGGTGAATCAGAATGTGGTGGTAGGCATCTTTCAGGTCTATGGAAGAAGCCCAACATGGAATCTGTAGATAGAGATTGGGTGACCGTCAGAAGGGTTTCCATGCAGAATATCTTTAGGCGGATAAAGTGGTTCAGAGGTTTGAGGTTGACAATAGGTCACCAGCTGAAGTGAGCTGTAGTCTGCGCCAGTACCCAGGGAAACTCGTAGGGATGAAACAATCATAGGAAGATCGGATCATTGATGAATGCAGGTTCGGATGAACGGCTGGCTATAGAAGAGAGCTTTGAGCGCATGCAGACTGCTGACATGATGTCGGCCGAAGCGTCGTCCTTCTGTGAGGAGTGAGACTTCTTACGCTTGGACCCTGTAGAAGACGACAAAGAATACTTGCATTTCTTCCGTACAGGAGAACTGGTTGTAGAGCCAGCAGTCAACACCTGGTGAGCTGGGGCATCAGAGGCTTGCCCAGACTGCAGTAAGAATACAACGGGAGAGGGCTGGTGAACTGCAGAAGAAGCAGTCTTCCCAGAAAGGCCCAGAAGGTAGCCGGAAGACGGGGTGAC